CAAAATTTTGCAAATGTAGGAATGATTTTACTTGGACTGTTTTCAATAATTCAATCTCAGACCAGACTTAATCAGACTAGATCAGGTCAGATTTCCATAGTTATACACGGAGACCATACATTTATCAAACCAGACCAGATATAAACAAATCAGACCAGATCAGATCAACAAATTTCAGTCCAAGTAAAAACATTTTAACAACAAAATTATATTATACTATTTTTTATTCGTTTGTACCACCACATCTACATAGTGCTCCCTTTGTACCATTATACACATCTTACTTTCCATTTTAAGTTATCCCAAAATAAGTGTCATTTTTCTTGAAAGACATGTGAGATCCACAATATTTCATTTTATTATACCCAAATCACTACTTCAACTTTTATTTTTAATCATTTTATTAATAATTATGTCAAATCGGAACAAGCCACATAAAATGACACATAAGCATAATATCTTTAATCACTTTGCCCCCAATAAACTTTTTTCCTAGATCCGCCACTGCCGGGGCGTAAATATTTACTCATGACTACCATATGAACAAACAGAACTACTGTAAGCTAATGCACCGGGGCGTAAATATTTACTATCTCATAGCCGGGCTGGGGCATATATATATATATATATATATATATATATATATATATATATATATATATATATATATATATATATAGGAAATCTTTCCGGTAAGGTATACCTTACCGGAGTCGCCGTGCGGCCTCCCTGTTTTGAGGGCCTTCCCGGTGGAATTTTTCGATGAAATTTTTTCAGCATGTTCTTCGTCAAGTCTAGTACATCCATACCAAATTTCAGAAAAAAATTCAATCGGGAAGTCAGCCAAACAATTTTTGGAAGATAACTGCGTTTTATATGTATATAAAAGGTGCAGTTATCTTCCAAAAATCATTTGACTGCCTTCCCGATTGAATTTTTTGCTGAAATTTGGTATGGATGTACTAGACTTGATGAAGAACATTCTCAAAAAATTTCATCGAAAAATTCCACCGGGAAGGCCCTCAAAACATGGAGGCCGCACGGAGGCTCCGGTAAGGTATACCTTACCAGAAGAGCTCCCTATATATATATATGTATGTATATATATATATATATATATATATATATATATATATATATATATAGGTTTTGGTTCAAATAAGAACACAATCTTATGAGAGAAATGAGAACGAATCTGGACCGTTAGATTTGCTTCAAGTGAAATTCAGTGTGCATTAGATGAAACTGTAATGTGCATTAGGTGAAATTGAAATGTGCATCACAAAGGGTACGATAGAGTGGCATTACGTGCGATTGAATTGTGCATTACGTGAAATTGAAATGTGCACTAGGTGAAGTTGAAATGTGCAGAAAAAGTATGATGTGATGTTATTTTTGTACTTTTTTTTCGCACATATCAGTTTCATCTAATGCACACTTGAGTTTAAATTTTTATTTTGCACATTTCAATATCATTTAATGCACATTTCAGTTTCCCCAAATGCATAATTTGGTTCCACATAATACAATCCAACGGTCCAGATCCGTTCTCATTTTTCTCCTAAGATCTGTTCTTACCGGAACCGCTCCCTATATATATATATATATACTACTGCCGCCCGAGAACGGGGAAGGCGGCACCGGCTCGCCCCCTAGTTCCGCCACTGATAGTGCTCATTGCTATGACAAACCAAATTTTTACCCAAAAAACAGTGAAACATAATCATTGTATCCACTTACTCTAAGCCTATATCAATCATCCACTGAGATCACTATTTTGAATTTGAAAACCCACCAATTAGGTAACAACACACTTTTTCGGGACAGAATGAGTATTAGGTTACTACCCAATACTATTTAGTAACTTAGTATTGTACTCCTATTTTGTAATTTTGCCTTATTTGTACTCTTATTTCTCGAATTTGACTATTACTTCGTATTTAGAATACTAACCGCCTTCCACGGTGGAGTTACACCAATAACTTCTTTATTCCGATCCGTTTCTTTATGCCTTTTTTATGTCACAATCCTAATGAGACCAGAATAACATGTCCTAGTAATAATAAATCTCCTAATAAGTCTGGAATAATAATATGCAACTAAGGTCGGTTAAGCTATCTTTATAAACCCCAGCTCTCAAGAATACACAACCTTAACCCCTTACACGTACCACAAACTCCACACAAATCATTGTCGTCCCGACCATCTTCTTCTCGCAATCCAATATGCAGATCTTTGTGAAAACCTTAACCGGAAAGACAATTACTCTGGAAGTTGAGAATGGTGACAGCATTAACAATGTCAAGGCCCAGATTCAGGACAAAGAAGGCATCCCTATCCCTCCTGATCAGCAAAGACTATTATTTTCTGGCAAGCAGTTGGAAGATGGCAGGACTCTGGGTGATTACAACATCCAGAAACAATCAACACTTGACCTGGCTTTGAGGCTTAGAGGAGGGACCATGATCAAGGTGAAGACTCTCACCGGAAAGGAGATCGAGATTGACATCGAACTTGCAGACACCATTGCACGGATCAAGGAGCGAGTTGAAGAGAAAGAGGGAATCCCTCCTTTGCAACAAAGGCTCATATATGCTGGGAAGCAACTAGCAGATGACAAGACAGCCAAGGAATACAACATAGAGGGTGGTTCGGTCCTTCATCTTGTCCTTGCACTCAGGGGCGGCTTTTTCCTTTAGATATTGAGCTTTTGTTAGCATGCAACATTGTTTCTAAACTTAGAGCCCGTTTGGAGAACTCTGTTTTCGGCTTATCAGGCTTATCAGCCAGCTTTTTCACCAAACACGTAATTTTTACTTTCGCGCGCTGAATTGTGTAATAAGCCGAAAAAGTAAGGTTGGAGTTACTTTTCTGGCTGTATTGGCTGAAGTTACTGTAGAGGACCATTTTAGCTATTTTTACATATAATTTTTTCTTTAATTTATTAATGAAATATATTTTTAAAATATTTTTTTCTTAAATCAGCAGAATCAGCCAAAACAGCCACTCCAGCCAGAATATCATAAATTTCAGCAGAATCAGCCAAAACAGCCGATTTTGGTGCTACCAAACGGGCTCTTAAGTTATGGTGACATTATTATACTTCATTCATGCCTTAAATCTTTTTCAACTTTCTTTTTTTAGTTGTGTCATTAACTTTGTCACTTTCTCTTTTAAGTAAAGAATTCGTGGTTCAAGTTAATTTTTGCTCATCTGTACAAATCTCAATCTCACTGTTTTTACTTTATCAATCTTCGTAGCATGATAAACCAAGCTTTCCAATCCACCTAGTTGTGAGGTTATCATGCTTAGTGGGAAGTCTGGGGTTCGAAATCCGCTACGCACATAAGGGTTTGAAACTCAATGAATGAGTTTTAGCCCTGATTACTCCAGGCCCCCTCCCCAAAACCCCCAAGAGTAAAAAAAAAAAGTAGTATCATGATAACTTAAGTTTAAAAACAATCTTTTCATCAAATTATGTCAATTGAATTAGAAAAGTAGGCTTTAAACATGCCATTTTTTCCAGACTTGGCAGAATAACTCATATTTAGGGAATAAAAAACATGATAGTCCTATTTTGGAAATTCAAAAACGTTTTTACTCCTATTTAGAGCAATTTCTAAATAAATTATGGAAAAATTATAGTTACAACAACAACATCTAAACCTTATTCAGTTATTTATTCCCAAAAGATTTTGAAATCAGCTAACATGAATGTAGTCATGATATCATAGTCAAAAAGAAAAGAAAGACAAGAAGATAAAAATAAAAAGATAAAGTAAGATAAAATAGGTAAAATAAAGATAAATAAAAGATTAAAAATATAAAAAGATAAATATAAGAGGTATTCGTTCTTCAGATATTCAAAACTTCGAACCTTCGTTTTCTGGATCTTCAAAGCTTCGTTCTCTATATCTTCAAATTTTTAAAGCTTCATCCTTTGAATCTTTGAATGTTCTGGAATATAGAATTCTTCTTGAAGGCCTCCATTTTCAAGTAGCGTGATCTTTCACAAAAGAAATCTTTTTAATGGTTTGGTCTTCTGTTAAAAGGCTTTCCGGAATATGTAGATTTATCTTTAATTGAATCTAGATTCAATATTAATATGAATATCTTCAAATCTTAAAAGATTTGTTCAGATTCTCGAATCTTCAAGGCTTTGTTTTCCCATAAATTTGAATGTTCATAATTTAGACTTATTTTATCAAGAATGGATAAAATTACAAAGCATTATTTGTTTATTCTTAATAAAATTCATGATTTGATATTTTTCTCTTCAAAATTCTTCAAAACTTCTTTGCAGCACTTCTTCATGTTGAAGTTCCATCCTCACTTATTTCAACTGAGATCGCTATTTATAGGTGTGGAGGGGATGAGATATACTTTAGAGCTCCAAAAGATCATCCATGTCTCTAGGACCCTAATGGAAATGGCTTTGGTCCCCATTTACATGTTTTTCCATATAGCTAGATAAATCAAGACAACCTTTCTTAACAAGTCTCCAGTTCAGAATTGTGTCATGTATCTAGACAACCTTTCTTAACAAGTATCACAACTTTTTTCCATGCAAATGGAAGGATTTTTTAACTAGATTCGTTGTCTTATTTATATAGGTGGCAGCACTGATACAACCTTTATTTATGAAATTTTAATTAAACATTAACATTCAGGTCATATTTGAATGGAGTAAATAATTAAAATACCCTGAACTATACATATGTGTGATATTCCCACCTTAAGTTTGTCTGTGTTAATGTAATATCCCCTCTTTTAACTAGTATGATACACTGGTACCCTACCTTCTAATGTAGGCGTCTGACTAGGAAAACTCGCCGCCTGTCAAGTTGAAAGCCCCTAGCTACAGCCAAACATTTTGAAATCATCCATTTTAAAATACGAGACCAACAAATTTGAGTGAACGTGCTCAAGATTTTGAGTAATGAAATCAAGATTTTGAAATTGTTCAGTGAAAACATTCTAAATGAGCGGAAGGAAGTTAGTGCACATTAAGTGGTCTTATTAAAGACCTACTATTCATTATCATCCTGGAAGTTTTTGGGCTGTGCTAACGTGATGAACCTTTTACATACGGAGTATATAACTATTATGTTTATCTTAATTTCACTAACGTTTACCTCTTCAAATATAGTACAATTCATTTATGAAAAAAGGTTTGAACTTTGATCCTTGGAAAAATAATACTCAAATCAGAGCAAAATCAAATGGATTTTAACAATATTTCAGAATTTCCATTGACGATTTCCAAGTCCAAACCGATGCCACAGCTCAGGTACTAAAAACAACCAACATTCTAACAACAGATGATCAACTGGAGATTATAATTAAAAAACGGAATCAGCCATTCCCATACAAAGACCAGATTAAGCCCTCTCCCCTCTGATTCTCCTTGCAAGCTGCATATCCTTGGGCATGATTGTAACTCTCTTAGCGTGAATTGCGCACAAATTAGTGTCTTCGAAGAGTCCAACCAGGTACGCCTCCGCAGCCTCCTGCAAAGCCGAAACGGCGCTGCTCTGGAACCGCAGATCTGTCTTGAAATCCTGGGCGATCTCCCTCACCAGCCTCTGGAACGGAAGCTTGCGGATCAACAGCTCCGTGCTCTTCTGGTACTTGCGGATCTCCCTGAGAGCAACAGTTCCGGGGCGGAACCGATGAGGCTTCTTCACACCGCCGGTGGCGGGAGCGGATTTCCTGGCCGCCTTGGTGGCCAATTGCTTTCTCGGAGCCTTGCCGCCGGTTGATTTCCTGGCCGTCTGCTTGGTTCTCGCCATTTCCTTGCTTTGGTTAGGGTTTGGGGCGGCGAAATGAGATGCTGGGTTTAGATAGAATAATGGATGGAAAGGAAGAAGATGGATGGTGGTTTTTATATGGTGAGTGTGTGGACGAATTTTTCAGAATTTTCAAATTTTCGTTTCTGGCGCCATGGCGGGTGGAATCGGAAAGTATATTGGAGATTTCCGGCTGTTGGATTCTGTGTAAACGAACGGCTGATATTCGATGTAAACACTGCACGCGGATTGCGATCCGCGCCGTGCAGACTAATAGCATTTGCCGGTTTGGCGGTAGTGCAGAGAAAATGCGGTCCCTCAATCCATTGTGTACCATAATTAACTAATTAAGTAAGGTCACAACTCTGTTACCTTTCTAAAAATAGGGGCACCGTACCTAGCATTCATTTGATTAGACCACATCACTATATCAATTTTAATTTAGATTTAAATAATTCAACTGCTGCATTTTCATTGGTCCATGTGGACAAAGGTATGGTACCTTATGGGTATCATAAAAACCACCATTAAGTAATTAATTAGAGAATGAAATACGACTATATGAGTATTAAGTAATTATATTATTATTATTATCACAACTACTCATTGTCAAAAAAAAATGCTTCCTCCGGGCTCCATCGCACCATGGGCTCGTTTGATAGTTTACACGTTAAATCTTTGCACACGATGTGATTGCATGCAAAGTATAGATAAACAATCATTTTGCATGTAAAATAAATTACATTGTTTGGCTAAATGTGTAAATTATTTTAAATCGCACGCAAAGTCGTTGCAGTGTTTCATAAAAGGCATGCAAAATATTTTACCACTCTCCCCCACGTAAAATACTTTACATGGTATAGTGTCAACTGTCAAGTGTTTTAAAAAAGTGTCTTACAGTTTACATTAATTAATTAAATCAAACAACGTAAACATTTTACGTCCTTACACTTCACATGCAAAGTAATTATTTACATCCTACCAAACACCCCTATAATTGTCTCGTTTTTTCATTGTCATCCATCCCACTGATTTTGTCGCATATCGTATTTAATAAGATTTGTGTAGTTCTAATTCATTCTTATTTTATTACTGCTTTATCAACTCATTATTAATCACATAACTCTGCTTTTTTAAAAAGTGACATCACTCTTCTTTGTCGCAATATTAGGGGGAGCGGGGGTAGTACGTATTAAGGTTGAGACCATTTAACTTTTCTTATTTTACTAGTTTAGTACATGTGTGATGTACGGGACTTTATTGTCCTTATATAATTGTAACATTTCTTTGTATATGATATTTTTTGTTTCGTTTGCGTCTTTATCATATTTGTCACATATTAGAATTTTCAACCCAACACGATCAATGGCACATGAAAGAGCAACATATAACTCATCATGGTTGAACATTGGTTTTTGTAAGAATAATCCAACAGTGGGCAACGATTGTCCCTAACTCTTGTTAACTGTCACAACGCGTGAGACAACTAAAGGATATTGTCTCCTTTGAAACCTGAAAGGTAACTGAACATCTAATGAAGTCAAAGTCATTCTTAGTATCACCACCTTTTCACTGGCACTTATTCACATGAAAGCTCTTGCTTCCAAAAAATGATTACCGAGCCTTGTGATCACCATTATGGTTTCATTCCATAACCTCGTTGAATAATCAATGTTTCTCATTAACATACGTAGCGTCCCATTTTGACCTGTAATTCATGATTTGAAGCTCCAGCAGCTCTTATCCCATGTAGAAATTCGGGAGTATGAGGATCAGCTGGGAAATCGACATTTGCATCTAATTTACATGGAAAATCTAAACTAAATATATGTTCTTAATTGGGATAAGGGTCAGTTTGGTCCTCGAAGTTGCAAAAAAGAGGTCAAATAAGTCCTTATATAGAAGATTTTGTCCGGACGTGCCATTTGAGGTGGCTCCCGGTGGAATTTTTTGATTAAATTTTTTGAGCATCTTATTCATTAAGTCTAGTTTACTCATACCAAATTTCAGATAAAAATTCAATCGGGAAGACATTCAAATGAATTCTTGAAGATAACTGCGCCGTTAAAAGCGCACTTATCTTTAAGAATTCATTTTGTTAAATGTCCCACACCGGAAAATTGAGAAGCACTAGAGTGCTATATTAAGCTTCGGGCTACTCCTCCTATCAGGTTGACCTTTTAGGATGGAACCCCGTGTCTTAACATGGTATCAGAGCCAAATCGATCCATGGTGTGGGGCCCCTTATGAAAAATGACGACACGACAAAAAAAATTGACAAACCGATGAAAAAATGACTGACGACACGATCCAGACGAAGTGTCTGGTCGTGAGGAGGGGTGTTAAATGTCCCACACCGGAAAATTGAGAAGCACTAGAGTGCTATATTAAGCTTCGGGCTACTCCTCCTATCAGGTTGACCTTTTAGGATGGGAACCCCGTGTCTTAACACATTTGAATGTCTCCCCGATTGAATTTTTAGCTGAAATTTAGTATGAGTAAACTAGACTTAATGAATAAGATGCTCAAAAAATTTCATTAAAAAATTCTACCAGGAACCACCTCAAATGTGACGTCCGGACAGAATCTTCTATATAAGGACTTATTTGACCCCTTTTTTGCAACTTCGAGTACCAAACTGACCCTTTACTCGTTCTTAATTTATCAATGTTCATTCTAAGCATGCAATTATTGAGCGCATCAACAACATCAAGTGTTTGAGCCCAAATTGCTCTACTTTCTAAGTAACTTGAATCATCTCCAATACTTGCACATTAAGAACAAGTGCTATGAACCATTGATGCAACCGGGTCATCATAACCTTTCATCAACATATCACTGAGAATTTATTTATTTATTCTGGAAAAGAAGGGTTCATTAAAAGTAAGAGGATTACAAAAGCGCTAATGAAAGTAAAAAACTAATGAAAGTAGAAAGCAAATGATCAAAGAAAAGCCATTGAAGTCCAATTTCATCTAGCCGAGAAGCATTTGAGAAGCCAACGCCAATGACTAATGATGAAAGGAAATAAAAAAATCCAACCGAGAAGCCCAATTCCGCCCAAAAGACTTGTGAATCTCTTGAAAACCGCCCAACTGCATCATCGCCTATGTGAGTCCAAATACATTAATCTGCAAAAGTTCCCAAATGAAAACTCAAGAATGTTTGCAAGTTCCGGAAAAAATCACAAGGCTACACCACTCTTGATCTTTATTTGTGCACTCCTGTGCGGAATCTGAAGAGTTTTGATCTCCGACAACCTATCTAAGAGCTTCCGGTTTGAGGGAGATCATCTCAGGGGTGTAGTAACATATTCATTGCCCCTGAGACTTCAGGGGTGTAACCTATTGCAAGTATATATTTTTAAATACCAATCTTTTGTAATCGTGTGTTAATCTACTTCCGCCTCAAGTAGATTTCTTCATTTCTTAGAACCCGTTTGGTAATGCTAAATTCGATCAAATTGGCCAATTCTGCATAAATTCATGAAATTCTGGCTGAAGTGATTATATTGGCTGATAAATACTAAATTATTCATTTCCCAAAAATAAGGAGATTCAAGCAGTTCAGTTGCTTCATCCAGAACTTTATCAATTTATATAGAATCAGTTGTTCTAACCAATTTAAGGAGTATCAAGGATGTCCTAAACGTTGTTCAATATATTGTAAAATGTCTAAAATTATAGAGAATAACAATTATTAAAAAGAAACATATATTGACCAGTAGAATTACTATGAGTGGAGACATTGATTTTACTACGTATTCTTTTCCATATTCTTAGAACTTTGAAAACAAAAACATGAATGTAAATTTTTAAAGATGATATTGTCTAACAATTTCTACATATGCAATAACCGCTATATATTTACGCATCCGATTTTTATTTCAAAGCTATATTTATGCCCATTCTGTTTATTTTAAAACTATTTACAGTTATTCTATTTATTTTAAGACTATGTACTACTTCTTATTTTCAATAACATGATATATGTTTTATTAAACTTTATTCTGTGCATCGCACGGGTGTGAAACTCGTGATTCACAAGGCTTGAACAGTATTTGAAAAAAATATTATCTTGTACTTATTATTCGTTGTCTTATATTTTTCTCATCAGTCGCAATGACAAAACACTGAATTCTATACAAATAAAGTAACTGAGCAATATTCATAAATTCTAAAATACAAAATAGACAACATAAGTATTTCTATCTTACTTCCATATCATGGAAAACATATTCAAGACTCTTCACCATACTACCGGGGTCAACATATTATACATACGCACAACACACAACTAAAGGTAGGGAAATATGTAAATGGTTAAAACACGACTAAACAATTTTATTTCACATAATACGCATAAAATGAAACTATTATAGTCATCTATCAACAACGGTAGCATATCGCAGAAAACAACAACAATAACGCAAGACTCATTTGTAACTTCAACATTTTTAAAAGTGAGAAGTGTGAGCAGTGTGACTATAATGCTCTGTTTGGATAGAGTGAAGTTAAGTAGACCTAGTGCAATAAAGTAAACCTAAGTTTTTAATAAAAACTAGGTTAACCTAAGTGAACCTAAGTCCATACGTAAAATAGTGTTTGGAAAATAGTGAACCTAAGTGAACCTAAGTCCATACTAGGTTAACCTAAGTGAACCTAGGTTAATGTAATAAATGTTGTTTGGATGAAGGTACTCTAGCTCATTTTATGTTAAACGAGAACTTAACCTCCAAAACCCCCGATTCGGAGGTTCTTCAATTTAAGGTTCTTCCAGGTTCTCGGGAGTTAAGTAAAGTTAACACATAACCTAGGTTCTTGTTGCAAAAATACAAACAAACGGGGTTAACTAGAAATTGAACCTTCAATAACCTAGGTTAACTCCCAAACAAACAGGCCATAAATGGAGATCATGAAAGATTTCTATAAGATATCATTGAATTATACTGTATTTTAAATAAATATATTCATTTACTAAGCCATCACAATTGATTGCAGGCTTGCAACCGACCCCAGGAGTACACTATGTACAATGTGTCGTTTATATTCTCCACGTATCAATTCAAAATGCATCATGCATTACATTTATGTCCTGTTTGTTTCGGGGTTAACATAAATTATTGCAAGCTCAGTTTTTAGTTAACCTCGTTTGTTTGTGTTTTTGCAACAAGAACTTAGGTTATTATTTTACCTCACTTAACTCC